CTACTACTACTATTACTACTACTACTATATATATAATACTACTTTTACTATTACCACTTCTGCTAATACTAGTTTACCACTTGTATTATTACTACATGTACTACTAATACTACTACTGTTACTACTACAACAACAACTACTACTACTAAGTACTACTACTACTACTACTACTACTAGCTATTACTACTACTACTACCACTACTACTACTTCTACTACTAAATGTAGTTCTACTTCTACTACTACTTCTACTACTAAATGAACTTCTACTACTACTACTACTACTACTACTACTACTACTAGCTCCAACAACATGAACCACAATTCCGTATCTTTATTCTCCCCTCTACTGCTGCTACTACTACTACTACTACTACTAGTAGTACTACTTATACTACTACTATTATTGCTACTACTACTACTACTACTACTACTACTACTACTACTACTAGTAGTAGTATTACTTATACTACTACTATTACTACTACTACTACTACTACTACTACTACTACTTCTACAACATCATGTACTACAATCCACTTCTTTTTCCTTCCTCTACTTTACTACTACTAGTGGTACTACTTAGATACCTATATTACAAGTACTACTACTATTACTACTATTTCCGCTCCTAATACTATAACATGTACAGGAGCTTCTAATATTACTACTCCTACTTCTGTTATTATTTCTACAGTCAAACCTGCTTTAGTGACCACCTGTCTACAAAGCCAACCTGTCTATAAAGATCACATGTTTGGTTCCCTTGAAAAAAATTCTCATTGAAACATGTACGAAAGGAACTTTTTTTTTTTTTTTTTACAAAGACCACCTGTCTACAAAGGCCACTTTTTGTGTTTCCCTTGGGTGGTCGCTATAGACAGGTTGACTGCTACTACTGCTAATACTACCACCACTACTACTACTACATGTACTACTAATACTAATAATTCTACCTTAAATATACTACTTTACTATTTCTATTACTACTACTACTACTACTACTAATGTTATTACTACTTCTATACCACTACTACTACTACTACACCTCATTCTACTACTTCAATTATTATGACTACTATTCCTACTACTACTAGTACTACTAATACTATACTACCACTACTACTTCTACTCATTTTTCTTAATCCTCCTCTTACTACTACTACTATTACATGTACTACATATCCGCTTCTGTTTCCTCCTTCCTCTATTATAATTCTTTTACTACTGTTGTTACTGTTACTACTACTACTACTATTACTACTACTACTACTACTACAACAACTACAACTACCTACTACTACTTCTACTACTACTATCCTAAACTGTATGTACTATTCTTCTACTACTACGACTATATTGCTGCTGCTACTGCTGCTCCTGCATCAACTAACTCCCTTTCTTGTACTACTTGTATAACTATTTACAGTACTTAATTACATGTAGTAATAATACCACTTCTACTTCCAATATTAATACAGAACAACTCCTGTACTCCTGCTGCATCTGCTATTAATGTTAGTACAACTAGTACTAATACTACTACTACTACTATACTACTTCTTCTACTACTACTACTACCACTGTCCATTACTAATATACTGCTATTACTACAAATACTTCTACTATACTACTTCTACTATACCCAGTACTATTTTTACTCTATTACTACTACTTTTTCTGAAGTTGTACTTCAATTTCTGCTGCTGCTGCTGCTGCTTTTATCACCATTGCTGCTCAGTGTGACACATCACCTGTTATTTCTACGCCCTTTTCAATATAACATTGCATGTTCTTGAAAACAAGTACAGCCCACATTACCAGCTCTCTTTCTCTTCTATCTAACCATATTTCTCAGTGACTGAGCAAGCGTTATTCACCTCCATTCAATGTCTGTCATCCATGACGGCAAACATGGACAGAGTACAATTGACTCAAGGATTAGCATTTCAAAGCACAGATTCACATTAAGATAAACTTGAGTTCTAGTAAAAAAAAAAAAGGAAAATTAATTCTCACAGAATCAAACGAAACTTACACTGAATGTTCAAGATTACAAATAAATGTCATTTGCCAAACGATTTTTGTAGAAAATGTATACTGGCTGAGTAATGAGCATAGAAAGATAAGGAAATCAAGGTTAGTAGCCCCTACACCATTTGTGTAGTCCCATATACATTTTTCTGTGTACATGCAGTGCTTGTTACTTTAACATGACTTGGCCAAATTTATTATGATTTTGATGACTTCAGAACCTAGCAGTACACACCAATACTTACACGCTACATGATCTCATAAATTGCCATGCTTTCATAAATTGCCATTTTTTTTGGTTATCACTCTCTTGTTTTTTTATTATTCCATTCTGTATTTGTACGTTTTAACTGTTTTCATGAAGAGTGTTGAATAAACTTTGAATGGATCAACTTTTTCTGGTCTATTCCACACATTTTCTTTCACAATGCAATCGCATGACCATAACTCAACTTTATCTTTAATATGAAGTTAGCAAAGTCAAACATGACAGTGGGCTTATTCATATGGGGACACGGTAATGAACTGTGGAATGTCATGATTATGTAGTAACAAACACCATGTCGTTTATCTAAAAATCTCATTCAATTCATTTTCTTTTCCAAACAAAAGATAATACACTATAAAATGTTGACATGTGCACGGCATGGTTGATAATCAGAAGCAAATAACCAATAACAATAAATCTTACAATACATAAAAGTGCAACACGACCAGAGAAAATCAACTGGAAAGCGTTTAAGGGTCTCAAACTTTTGATATACATACGAGACGTGAGATAAAGAAACCACCCCTCCCCAAATCTAGGAAAAAGGGTGATATGTTACTGCGCTTTAATACTCTCGGACTTCCACAAAATAAAAACTGTTTTGCCTCCTCCGGATCGATCCTGCCCCCTCCCTGCATTTTCTGGCGATTCTGTGTTTGCCTTTGTATTGAGCCCGTAGCCCGGTTTCCATCGCCTCTGTAAGTTAGACTTGGCTTAAAGGGAAATCTTACTTTGATAGGAAACTAGACTAAAGGAAAGCAACACAATCAGAGATCTAGATTTGTTAGTGTTTGAATGAAAGCAGACCCCCTCCCCCCCAAAAGAGAGAGAGTAATGAATTTTTTGAAAGTTGTGATTACCACAGGTATGGGTTCTTCCAAATGGCTGAATCAGTGAAGTCGCTGTGATGTAGTGGTGGGCAATTTGTCCGTTTGTTCCAACCCACAAAATGACTAAAATTTAAATTTCGATCCATGATATATATTTTGAGAAAAACAGAAATTAGAGATATTTTTGTAAACAGGAGAGTTATAATTGATATTATAAGCGTTCTGTTCATATGATTCAGCTATGTTATTTTCACTACAGACAGGGTCTGTAAGTAAATGCAAAGATTACGTTTTTCTTTGATTGAACATTTGATCCTTGGTTCAAAAGAGATAAAGGCTGTTGCCCATTAATTTGGAATAATTTTCTTCTTACATGTTTTTAAAATGAAATGACAGTGAAAATAAGTATGGTTTATTCTAGAGAGATACATTTTCTTATTTAAGTTTTTATGAAGTTCTGAGAAGAATTGAACTTAATGCTTCAAGAATAGATTATATGTTGACAATCATTTCGTGAAAAGAGGTGAACATCCCCCTATAAGTGTATGGGCAACAATACGTTGTGTGTGGGGATACGCCATGCAGATACTACAAGGGCGTTGACTCAAGACAAGAGAGTAATGCCTCAGTCACACTGAGAAATAAATTCTCGATATCATGACATGATTTTCTGTTGTAAAGGAATGGTAATTCTTGATATCAAGAAATAGGAATAAATGTCAAATTCGCTAAGGTGTGACTGAGGCATAACAGAGGGAGGCAATATGGGTGACCATTATAGACAGGTGGCCACTAAGACGGGTGTGACTGCGACATAAGTTACGCCCTTCCGGTTGTCAGAAGACAAACTGTGATTTTTGATTTTCTATTTTTTTCTAGGAAGAAATTACACGCCTCACAGAGACACAGTACTTAAAGGTCAGATGTCAGCATGGGTCAAGGTCATTCAAAGCGAAACAAATCAAAACGGTACCAGTTCGATGAAGGACCGACACAAGTTGCAGCAACAGGGAAACAACGTCGGTTTACCGGAAAACCGCGAAATGTCTCGCAGTACCTCACCCAACACAGCGACCAAATCGCCCAAAACACTCAATATACCGCCCAACAGAGCCAGCAGATTCAGTATAAGCGAAGATCGAGTCAAGATTACTTACACGCACAGATGAGAGATGAAGCGGTTGAAAGCAGGCCCCAGTCTTGGCATGAGTCGCGGTTCCGTCCGCTAGCTTCAGCCGTCTCTGACGTGAGGTCACGAATGACCGGTAACTACAGACCAAATGAAACCCGTTCAACTCGCAGAGAGACATCATACTTCGCTACGCATGAAGACGATAATATAACATCTATGGGCTACTATTCAATGGATCGACATGAGTCTTATTCAGGCAAGTTTTTTACTCTTTTTTTTCATAACATTTTAAGAACAGTTTCTTGACACTCTCTTGAATTATCAAATTAGCCATCAAAGTTATTGTGTTATTCGATACTGTAGCTTGAATCTATCGAATATTACCTGAAAAAGTTGCGGAGCGAGAATCTGCAAGGGGTACGTCTGCACGGAAAAATGGGGGCACGGGGTTCCGGTCTTAATTAAGTGCACATTTACTAGGCAATTAACTCATTCATTTGGGGAGAGTACGTACGGGAAGTGCATGGGTCTTGGCATCTTCTTCTCTCGTATACTAACCCCCCATTCTCTCTTTCTTTCTCTCTTTTCTTCTTGCTCTTTCTTTTTATATTTTTCACCGTCGATTGAGGTGGGGGGGGGGGGGGGGGGGGGTTAGCACGCGGTACGTGCCCCTTGCCTTTGTAGCTACGTCAATGTATCGTTATATTAAACCTAACCAATGACATCTCTCTTAATTCTTACTCCTTGTTGCAGTGAGAGATTCCTCGTTTGTCCCAGTTTCAACTCGTCCCGAGAGATCAGAGGTCACCGAGCTTGAAATCAAGGAGCTTGTGGAGGAGCTGCGAGAAACCGATTGGATGCGGCTCGGCAGCCATCTTGGAATCTCGACCAGTAGACTTGCCGCCTTCAGGGAGCGTTATCATGGCAACGTACCGCTATGTTCGATGGAGGTTCTGTTGCTATGGAAACACAACTGTTCAGAGGTCATCAACCCAAGATCTCATCTGGCCCTGGCACTGTCAACAATTGGACGCGAAGACCTTTACGGCAAAATCAAACGTAATTAAAGTTCACTCGTACACTAATGGGTATGAGCGTTATTGGATGACAACCAATGTCCTCCAATATAAGTATATTCTGATAATTCCCGTATTAGTGGTTCTTTGAAGCCTTTTGGTGAGCAGCCTTTTTCGATGTTCAAGCGTGCTCACTGACTCGATACTTGTCTCTCCATGGAGGGAAATGCATTGTCCTTTTTAAAAATCCAGTTGTTTTGGTTAGGAAGGAGATATTTCCTTTCACCTCCTTTATCGCCATAGCCAATGGTTAACATAAGAAATCCAAACCAGATTACTAAAATCCACTTGGCTGGGCCACTCGCTCTGGCGTTCACTCGGGTTTTCGCGATTTAGTCTCTTTTTAGTCGCTCGGCGTCTATCAGACATGAGGCCTTGTCTAAAGGCTAGGGTCGCCTGAGCCAGTTTGTAGGCGAAGTGGACGTGCCGCTAGATCCCCAGACTTCGCTTTTATATACGTATACCAGCTTATATAGGCCAATATTTCTTTATGTTTCATAAATTCTAAATTAATGTGATTGTTTTCTTCTCCCCCTTACAGGAAGAACATATATCAATGAAGCGGAATCGAAGACATCTCAGAACGGTAACCGGGGAAACTACCCTAGACGCAGAACGGTCGTCATATCATTGGATGACGACGATGACAAAGAAACGACATTGAACACGGAGCGAAGTTTGGCTGGGGCCGAATCAGGAGTGGAAACAGTTGAGTCGTTGAGTGACAGGTACGTTGAAGATCATATCAGGGGGTGTTTCACAAAGATCCTAAGTTGAACTTATCTCTAATTATACGATCATTTCGTGGAATGCAAAATTCCTGTAAGAATCCTTGATGTTCTTGATCACAAATACTCTTTTTGTCTTCAAAATTTGTATTTTTTTTCTCATGCAGTCTTGAAGGAGAATCAGACAGTGACGATGAAACTGGATGGGATGGACACCGTGTTCTTCATGTGCCCATCGTAATCTCGAAAGACTACGAAACACGCCCAGCCCGGTCAACCAAACCCAAGTCCATCACGGTTCCTATAGTTATGACAAGCCCACCTTCATCTCCACCTTCATCATCTATACCTTCGGGGCCGCGGATATCGTCCATTGAAGATGCATTAGATCCAGATCCGGGAACAGTTGCGACCCGGTTAGAACCAGTAGAACCGGGTGAAACTGTAGCAGTTGCGATCCTGAAGTCAATGGATGGAACAATCGCAATACCGAACAAACCCATAGCCATAACAAGAGAGCTTCCCCTTGATACTATCACCAATAGCCCGGAGAGGACTGAAGATACACTTGAACCTGACCCTGATGAGCATAAAGACAGCTCTGCTTTGGTTGTTGCGAAAGAAGCAGATCATCCAAAGCCGTTGAGGAACCTAACACCGAAGTCTGGCGTCACCAAGACCAATGCAGAGTTATCTGAGGACGAGCTACGTGTACTGTCTACAGAGATCAGATCTGCCTCGGAATGGCGCAAATTAGGTAAGTAGTGGCAACTGTAGTTAGCAAACATATTGAAGGTATTAGTCTGAAATAGGCAAGCTGTCCTTTTGCAATACCTTAAACAATCGCCTACTGGAACCAGGTGCATCCTTCATTAAACCTATGGGGCAGATTAACATTCCGTAGTCATCGGGATAAGAAATCGTACCCCTTAATAAGATATTATACAAGCTAAGCACCCTTTTGTTGACGATTAACTCTTCACATACCGAAAACCCTTAATGGTCTGTCTCCATCATTTGAATTGATTTTATTTATATTGTTCTCCAGTGTTTAAGCACGACAGATGCATAAGTAAATGGATAATCTTTTACCTACAATCCACGGATAATCGTTGACAGTTAGCTCATCGTATGCTTCCGAATCTTTGGATTAATATGCCTCTTTGAAATGAACTTTCATGACAACAAATTTCTATTTTTCATTAGGTAAGCAACTCGGCCTCAACCAGACTGATATAAAGAATTTGTCTAAGGCGAACGGAGAGGGCGTGACGCAGTGTGCCTTCGGGGTTTTGAAGCTGTGGAAGAAGCGCTTTGGCAACTCGGCGAAGGAGAGACGCATCCTTGCTGCTGTCATTTCTGATCTAGGTCGAGACGACCTGTATTCAGCCATTATCAAAAGTAAGTTCAATGTATGCTGTATCCTACGAGGCGTTGTATGCAGTATCATAACGGGGCGTTGTGGCGTGCGTCTGTAATCCAGCATAGGGTCTTGAAATATGATCTGCTCAAAAAACTAACCAATACAAAGCATCACTTGCCTATTAAAGCACAGCAAAAACAGAAGAACAACCGTGAATGAAGAAAAGAGTTTGAATAAGTGGATATTAAAAAGAATTAAAATATAATGAAAATGATAATTAACTTACCACGCAAATTCTAAAATATGTGTAGGCAGCTGTTTATTCGCAATAACTTTCTTGTTAGTACCATAATTGAATCCATGATTTTTTTTTTAAATATTAGCCTGTCGAAGTTTTTAATGGGTGTAGAACGTGGAAAAATGCAACAACGATACGACAAATCCTAAAGTTCTGTATAGTGTCTCTATCTATTTACCTTTTTGTTTGTCATGATTTACAGATAAACTGACGGGCAGGATACAGTCATTGGAAGATAGCGTAAAAAGATGGTCAGACGTTTTGAAGGTGAGATATGGCGGAGCTGATTTCGATACAGTGGAGAGTCAGCACTACATGGATATCCCAGTAGTGTATCAAGACGAAGATGGAAATAAGACAACCCTCCTGAGTAGACACGACATCCTCAATGCTCAGAAGGGCAAGAAACAATTGCCACTGATTCTTCTACACGGAGATGCAGGATGTGGTAAAACGACCTTTCTCAAGCGGCTGGCGCGGGACTGGGCAGAAGGCAACGATCTATCTCATCTTTCCAAGGTTCCTCTGGTCCTTTTCCTCACTCTTGAAGAGTTGCGACGATGCCGTAGCATCGGAGAAGCAGTGGTCAGGTCTCTCTTGTTCAAGGATTCCTCTGCAACGGCTGGGATGGTCGATGAATACCTGAGGATGTACCCGGAGAACTCTGTATTGCTGGTAGACGGATTCGATGTATCTCGCTCACAAGGAGATCTTCAGGCAACGCAGACGCTCCGTGACCAGGTGAAATGCCAGATGATTGTTACAAGTAGAGCATGTCTTCCAGAAAGTGAAGATTCCATCCGTAAGTTGATTTCTGTGGAGATGCAAGGCATTGGTTTCGATCAACGAAGCAAGTTTATCGGTTCATTTTTCGGGCCTGATGTAGTACAAGGTGAGGAGCTTCTTCAGTCCATAGCAGGGGATGATGTCTTATTATCATTCTGCTCTCGTCCAATGTTTCTAGCAATCATTTGCCAGCTATGGAAGAACCATGCACAGCTTCAGGATATAAATACATCCTCTGATATCATTACTTCTTCACTTGTCCTTCGTTTCATTGGTCATGAAGATGTAAAGGATGTCGTAGAGGGCGTTTCAAATGTGATGTCGACGCTTAGTCGAGTAGCACTGGAGAGCATCATGACGCCGGGAGTTCACCTAACGTTCAAGACAATGGACCTGACAGACGATGATGAGCGCGAGTGTGCAGAGCTAGCTGAGAGAGTTGGTTTGATCAGATGCTCCCCTTCCACCGCCAATGACTCAACTACACACAAAGAAGACAGAGAATGGTCTTTCATCCACCCTCTGGTACATGAGAAATGCGCTGCCATCGGACTAGCATCGCTCCATCGGTCTGACCCGAAAGGATTTGAAGATATCATATCTGCCATTGGGTCCATTGCAGAGTGTGAGTCTATGAGATACATCTTAACCTTTGCTTCCGGTGAAAGTGTTGAGGTCGCAAAGAGAATCCTACGACTTCTAGGTGATCTAGCTTGGAAGGATCCTGGTTCAACTTTGACTGCCCAAGAGCTTGTATTGAAATGTAACTTTGAATGCCACCGAAACGACGCATTGAATCGTGAACTTCAGTTCAGCATACGGTCCCTCCAAATTGCAGCCTTCATCAACAGCTTCATGGTGGATGTCTCTTTCAGGTATTTCATCTTGAACTCCGTCAGGGAAGCCGAGAACCCTGTTCAAATACAGAAGGTTAAGTTCATAATATCATCTCGAATCGACATGGACTACGCCACGGCTTGTTTGCAGAATGGCTACTTCACATCTGTGCCAGAGTTCATCTTTGACATGCCAAAGACTTTCAGTCCTTCAAGAGAAGCTTCCAGAAGACTTTCCGATGACGTAATTACCCCATCCCTTCGATGCCTCATGGTCTCGTCCATTTTCTCCACCCGAGACTTCATATCCAATCTCCACTCCTCCGAAAGCCTTGAAGAACTCAGAGGGTCCGATATTGACCCGAAGTACATCGACCTACCTGCATGGTGCCGAAACTACCCAAACCTGAAGACACTTAGTCTATCATGTATCATGTACCAAGACCCACGGAATATGGACGACCATAGGAACAGCCTTAAAGGTCTGGAATCTGTCTTGTGTACCCTCACAAGCTTGGAGTACCTTCAGCTCAGCAACTTCTTCTGCTCGGAAACGCTGGTCCAGATCCTGATCAAGGTTCTTCAGACACTGCCCAAGCTATCCCACATCCAAGCAGGACCATCTGGTGACCAACTGCATCATTATTCTGAAGAAGTCGAGGAGACTTGCGGTGAGGTCTCAGAGGCCACAATCCAAAGCTTCACCAAGGCTACCAACAAGAAGTCTTCGTCCCTGAAGATCCTTCAACTCTCATGCTTCGGGAACTTTGAAAAACTATACCAGGTGCTGCGGTCGGAAACAAGTTCGAGGGGGCGGAGAGGTAGTGAGCTGTAAGTATAGTGATTTATTCGTTAAGGGCAGTTGTACACATTTTTAATTCAACATTAGGGCAATCGAGATTTCCCATGAGAGAATACCCGATTTTCTTTTGATTCAGGCATTACAAATATTAGAGTATGGATACAACGAAACAATAATAGCTGTCAGAGGCAACAAACATGAATTATCAGATATCAAAAGTATTTCTGGAAAGCAGTATTTATCCAGGTGGAGAATTGTATCGGAATGGTTTTCCTTCTAAGATCTTGTGTGTTGGCTCAGACAGTAGAGCGTCCGCCTCACAACCGGGAGGTCGTGGATTCGGAACCCCGTCCGCGTCATACCAAAAGACGTTAAAAGACGGGAGTTGCTGCTACCTTGTTTGACGTCTAATTAACAATAAGGGATAGAGCAACGTTGATCTGGCGCTGCTCAGTAGCTGCCCGGCTCAGGATCAATTGGGCAAAAAGAATTTCCATTTTCGATTTAACTTAATAAAATTTGGAGTGGACTTTAACAGATTATTATATTACATGGATTATTTTGTTTTTGTTTCGTACCTTGTATTCACAGGCACTATACTTCACCAAGCGATGAGGACGGATATTGGGTATTCAAACGGTAGTGGAACATGGAAACGTAACAGGAGTCATATGGCCTTGTCTTCTCTCTCATGAGGCAGGAAAAAACTCACGTGATTCCCCTTGGTTGTAGGAGACACATATGTTCCTTTAGGGCTTACTTCGAATCATTGGATCATCGCGTCGGGTCGGGTGGTCGCGTTACCCAACCTTTTGTGAAAACATGCCCCTTTCTTGACGAAACGTAGTGCGATACAATTTGAGAAATAAGCCCCTCTCATCTATCAATGGTCAGGTACAATTTAACCAACACTTTGTGAAAAACCCTTCGACAAATCTACAAAAGGTCGCGTCCATATTATGCATCTTCAGATGATCTTCCGTTTTCGTTCCACGAAAGGTCGAGTAACGCGACCATCCGACCGGACGCGAAGACCCGTTGATTCGAAGTAAGCCCGTGTTTGGTGATTGTTGACGACTTCTGATCACCATCCGAAAATGATCCAGACTGTAATGCAGTTATTATGAGTTTATATTTTACAGATACATTGTATTTCTTTGAAATCAAACTCCTTTATAACTAGCCACTCTCATTTAGTTGAGTACATGTAGTTGCAGATTTTGTTTGAATTATATTAGGTTGTACAGCGCCCTTTTCAGGGTCATGTTATGTGATTGTTGGGTTGTATACATGTATTCCCCATTTTCTCCTTTTGTGAAAAAATATACAAATACATAATGCAACATTAGTTGATTTCTTTTTCTTTTTCTTCTGAAGATAACATGCAATTCAATGATATTTATTCATGTAAAGTCGCATGGATTGGAATAGGAAACCTTCGGGTTATAGCAATTTAGGTAATATTGTTTTTTCTTTTCCCGGCATCCATGTGACTTACTTTAAATCCTACTTTTGTTTCGTTTACACTGCTTCTTGATTTTGTCTTTGCCGAATAAATAATACAAATAATAATTATGATAATCATAGGGAAGATAATATTTATAATGATAATGATAACAATAACAACAGAAACAGCAATAATAACAATACTAATTATAATACGTTTACATAAATAGTAGGCTGAATAGAGGCTGGCTTAAAATAAAACATTGCATAACTGTTAATCATAACAATAATGTCAACTTATAAAGCGCACATATTCATTCTAAAAGACTGCTCAAGGCGCTCTGTACAGTATCAAAATAATTATACAATATTAAGACTAAAACATAATTATACAATATTAAAACTACGACATAATTATACAATATTGAAATAAGACATAATCAAATGGTGCTTAAGTTTCTTCTTAAATATTTCAACTGATGGTGATTGTCTTATTTGTAATGGTAAATTGTTCCATAATTTGGGTGCAATGTTAGCAAAAGCCCTGTCCCCCATTTTATTTTCGTTTTGGGTGTACACAACTGGAGCTGTGAACCTGAACGTAAATTCCGTTGTGGGGTGTACGGTTTCAAAATTTTATACAAGTAATGGGGTGAAGAATGAAGAAGTGTTTTGTAAGTAATGAGTACCAGCGTATACATGATTCTTTTTTTAAGTTCAAGTTCAGGTTAATTTCCACTCATGACAAGATAAGAACGATAAAAACATATATACATATAAGTAAGAAACACATACAGATATATTTATACATGAACAGAAAGTTGGAAAATTTATGATGTTTGGGGTGGAGGAATCTTGTTTTGCATATTTGATTACGTTTTGGTAGCAAAATGAATTTAAACAGGGTAAAGGTAGCTGACCCAAAATACAAGAATGTCAGAATTTACCATGTTGCATATAATATATATCTATTGCACTACCTGATATACGTGAAATAGACAGTCTTAACCTAGCTGACCAAAAAAGGAGCGAGAAATTTAGCTATCTAAGTAAAAGTATACAATTTATATAGAAGCAACAAGAATCCGTAAAGTTTACTCCTATTGCTACGTGAATAATTAAAACATTATTTAAAATGTTATTTCAATGAATGTAAATAGAAAGTTTATGCTAGCAGTGAAACCTGAATATAAAGACCACTCAAGGGGGACATGAAAAGTAGTCTTTATTTTGCAGGCGGCCTTTATGGCCTTTAGCATACGTTTCACTAATAAACCACTTTCAAGGGAAACAGAAAATGTGGTCTTTACAGACAGGTGGTCTTTCAATATTGGTGGTCGCTTAAGCAGGTTTGACTGCATTGTGTAGACGTATCATGCCTGGATTACATTTGGCCCGGGCGCCGCACGATAAATTGGTCTACGATTTTTCGTGCGTTTTTGGAGGCATCGTAGGAGGCTACGGGTTACGATGTTTGTGTTTACATTATCTACGAGCATCGTGTCATTTCTTGTATAGGCCCTCGGGGGTAGACCGGGACACATCCGTACAGAGGCTGCTCGGAGATTGTACGCAAATCGTGCAATTTCAGTGCAACACCCGTGCAGTCTCTGCAACCTTTGCACGGAAATCGTACGTAGCTCGTGCAGCTTCCGTGCAGTGGTTGCGCGGAGAAGGCGCGGTGACCGTGCAGCCTCCGTGCCGTTTTTTCGGCGTCTGTTGCCCCCATGTTCACTGAAAAATCGTGCGTTTGCTGCACGATCAGTGTGATGCCTCCACGCAATGCCCGTGCGGAGATTGTGCAATGCCACCTACGACATGTCTACGGGCTACGGGCTTACGATTTTTTAAATTTGTTTAACTCCCCGCGATACAAAATCGTAGTCGCCCCAGAGCCCGACGTGAATCCGTACGAAATTCTCACGGCCGCCTCCTGCCTCCCCACGGAGGACGTACGGAAAAAGGGATACGGGCAGGATACGGGCCCCGTAGACTAATCGCAGGCAAAATGTAATCCAGGCATAAGTGCCTAAAACCGAAAAGACTTTAGTCACACATCAACCTCACGCAAAATCAATAGCTTTGTGTGTCACCTTTTGAAATGGGCGAACACAAATACAAGCACCGTTTTTTGGTGGATTTCTCCTTTTGATTTCGACTTAATTGATAACAATATCAGGTTATATATCAATTATATCTTGTATTCTAAAAGAATTTATTACTTATCGAATTTTGATATTGTATAATTACAAATAAATTTTCATTTTCTATTGTATATGGTGTAATTACAAATAAATTTCATTTTCTATTGTATTTGTAAATGCAATTTCATTTTAATTTTATGGAAGCATTTTTCCATGTTTTGATTGTTTTTTGGAGATAAATTTATTTGAATTGAATTGATTTTCAAGAATGACGTATCATATCATCCAAATATGATATATTGTAGATATATTGACTGCTTTTAGAGGCATTGCTGTGATCTATAGGCTCAAGGGGACGTTACGTCATGCTATGATTCCTCGGTGCGCCGCGGCGTCCCAAGAGCCAGTATAGAAACAGCTATGCTTTGAATATTAAAACAGTACACATATCTACAACGGATTTACAAACAAAATCTACAAAGAATTCTTAACTTATCCTTTTTTTGAGTAAAGATTGGATAAAACATCACACAAAATCAGAGATACAGTTTGGAAATCTTCGCCGGAAAATTGTCTGAATGTTACGATCATTCAGGAAACGCGCACACATTGCACTGTATGGTATTCCCGATCGCACAAAGAAACTCTGCATACGTAAACCAATTGGGTCTTCAGCAAAATTTAACTATGTGGCCAGTTACTTGAGACAACGGGCATCTTTCTCATTAACTATTGATCTTTTTATAAATGTAATGCTTCCTTGGGGAAAATTCAATTATTTAAAAATATTTGTGGCTTACACCCAGTAAATTACAGATCAATCAATCGATCTTATTTACTGGGTGTAAGCCACAAATATGTTTAAATAACTATTGATCGTTAGGCAGGCATGGCTAAAATCGCGACTTCAATTTCGACCAATCAAATGACTAGATTTATTCATCATACTAAAGAGAGGTATATAAATTCCGATTATTTTCAGGTAGTATATCCTCCGTATTTAGTTCAGGAAGCGCCAATAATCAAAACTATTCTGCTAATAATACACTTCAGAGAGTGTAACAAATCTCCATTTTGAAAGGCCCAAGCCAGAGTCGCATTTTAAATTGGCGGGTTAAATATTCAGGATTTAACCTTTATAAACTGGGATCCGGTGTTTTTATACTACGACGTCACAAATCTAAAAAGGTTTTACTCGCTCACTTCACTCTCTCGCAAATGAATATTTAGACCACCCAACCAACTGCAAAGTTGCTTAACCATATCCTGTACCGGTAAATAAAAAACAAAAACAAAAACATATTTAAATCATCCCTGATAATGTAATCACAATATAGGGGTCCGTATCGGCGCAATTACCCCCTGGACAATCACCCCCGGAAAATTAACCCCGTAAAACTAACCCCGAGGACAATCCCCCAGAAATCCCCCCTCCCAAGGCAACCTGCCCCAAAGACAATTATCACTCGAAAAATTACCCCCTAGAACAATTACCCCCCCCCCCTCCCCCCACGTTCACTGAAGGGAGGTACCGCCCTGATAGTAAGTTTTTTTTTTTTTTTTTTTCGAGGGGTTATATTTATTTATTATTATTATTTTTTTTTTTTTGTGGGGGGGGGGTGGTTGTCCTTGGAGGGTAATTTTACGGGGGGTAATTGTCCCGCTGGTAATTGGCCGGGGTGCGATTGTCCGTGGGGTAATTGTCCTAGAACCTCGGGCTGCAGTATTAATCACTATGGTTTCACGACAATAAAGAGCGCCATCATGTTGTGCTACGCCACAAGAAAATGTATTATTCTGTTACCACGTCTCTCCGGCCATCAACGTCCTGTGTACATCACCCGTCAACGCATCCCCCTCTCGCTTTCTCCCTCTTTCTCTCTCAATCATATACATTCGGATCTTGAAATTAAATATGAGAATGAAATACTAATTACTTCAAATGTACATTTATTACTTTACTTATTCGTTGTAATATCTACTTGTTTTTTAGCATTTCCAGAGATGCTCTATCTTTTTTTATCAGCCAAATTGGTAGTCCTTTCAGCCCTTTTTAAAATATTCATAATAATAACATAAGATGCAACTGTCTAGGAAAGGAAGGTTACGAATATTTCTAGAAGCCGGGTCGACATCTCGAAGGAACTTGAATCGATGTTTATGTTAATAACTTTACTCGTAATTTTCATGGAATAAAATTCCTTATACTTGCAACACTGGTAACCCTGGTGTTTGGTATGTGTTTGCCTGACTAAACGAGATCTGCCATCTTGGGCCATTCTGTGAATAACTCCCCAAAACTGAGTTCGCCGTAACCCGCTTTTTAAACAATGTATTTGTTTACTTTTTATTTTGTTCCGCGTAAAATTGATTGAAAGAGCGCCCTCATTATTGGTTGTCTACAAAAATGTTTATCCGACACCCAAACACTCTTTTTCTTGCTTTATCTCTCTTTCTGTCTTTGTCTCTACCTCTCTTTCTTTTGTATAATTCTCTTCAGAACTTTGATCATGCGTTTCCCCTGCTCCCCTCACCCTCGTGTACTCCTTCTCCCTAATATTATCCCCTCTCTCTCCCCTGTCATTCTCTCCTATTAGTGTAACGAATTTCTAGATAATCGCATATTAACTGACAGTTAACGTGATGTATGTCCGTTCTGACCACACTTTAGGTAAGAGGGGAAAGTCTATGTTTGTTAGGTACAATTAAAGCCAATATCAA